CGGATAGCACTTTAATATATCACGCGCTGATTTACGTTATATAGTTTCAATAAGTAAGGTACGAGTTACTTTTCTAGCTGAATTACTATATGAGGTCATTTTAACTATTTTTTCTTATAATATTTTTCGTAATCATACATAAAATGTATTTCAAATATAAATTTTCCCACGGTTCAGCAGATTTTGCCAATTCAGCAGCTCATTTCATGAATTTCAGCAGATTCAATCAGCCGATTTGACCAATTTCATTTTTACCAAATGGGCTCTTAAATTTGGAAACTAATTATAAATACATATTTGAGTAAACAAAAACTACAATTTAATGAGCATTACGTGTTGCAAGTGTGTGGTTGCAAGTGTAAAGTAACTACGTAATGCATTTTTTAAAAGCAACTATGTAGTGCATTCAAGAGCAATTAACTTTTGGATCCTCGTGTAAGTATGAAAATGGTTGACTTAATTAATTATGTCATTTCTTTAGTCAAATCTACTAGAAAATGACCAAATCTATTACAAAAATGATCTTTGTACCCACTCTTATACCCACTTTTATACCCACCTATGTTTGTGAAGTGTTTTTTTTTTGTCTGTGAACCCCGCCTCATAGACAATATTTTGCACAAACAAAATATTGTCTATAAATCGGGTTCACAGACAAAAAAAAACCTCCACAAACATGGTGGGTATAAGGTGGGTATAAGAGTGTGTACATCAAGCATTGTTGAATCTATTAAGTCATCCATTTTCATACTTACATAAGGATCCAAAAGTTAATTGCTCTTAAATGCATGCACTACGTAGTTTCTTTAAAAAAATAATCATTGCGTAGTTACTTTACACTTGCAACCACACATTTGCAACACGTAACGCTTGTAGTTTTTGTTTACTAAGTTATGTATGTAAAATTAGTTTCAAAACATAGAACTTGATATTTAAACGAGTCTTGTAACTAAGAGCCCATTTGGTAACAATGAAATTGGCCAAATCGGCTAATCGAATTTGCTGAAATTCATGAAATACTAGCTGCAGTTGCTGAATTTTCTAAATCTGCTGAATTATGGGAAATATTATATGTGAAATATATTTTATGTCTAAATTAAAGAAAAATTATACGAAAAATAGTTAAAATGACTTCCTATAGTCATTCAGCTAGAAAAATAACTCCTATTTTTTTTCGGCTAGAAAAATAACTCCTACTTTACTTATTTTCACTATTACGTTAATCAGCGCGTGATTTATATAATATAGTTACTATAAGTAAGGTAGAAGTTACTTTTCATTTATATAATATAGTTACTATAGGAGGTCATTTTAACTACTCCCTCCGTATTTTTTGTTTGCTACAATAGGTGTTGGCACATTTTTTAAGAGTGAAATAGTAGGGGTAATGAATAGTGTAGAGAAAGTAGGAGAGATGGTGGAAAAATATGAAGGAGGAGATAAAAAGTAGAAAAAGTAAGGGTAGTTGAGTATTTTTAAAGAAAAAACTTGTCAAAAAGGGAAAGTGTAGCAAATTTTTAAATACATCCAAAAAAGGAGAGCGTAACAAACAAAAAAAATACGGATGGAGTATTTTTTCTTATAATTTTTACTTTAATCATACATAAAATATATTTCAAACATAAATTTTCCCATAATTCAGCAAATTCAGCCAATTCAGCCGTTGTAGCTAGCATTTCATGAATTTCTTTAATGAGCATTACTTGTTACAAGTGTGTGGTTGCAAGTGTAAAGTAACTACGTAATGCATTTTTTTGAAAGAAACTACGTAGTGCATTCAAGAGCAATTAACTTTTGGATCCTACTAGAAACGGTTTACTTAATAAATTTTGTCATTTCTTTAGTCAAATCTACTACTTGAATGACGTAGGTTTGACTACTAGAAAATGACGAAATCATCCATGCAGGCTGGAATCTAATGCCCGGAATGTGAGATGTCCACGTTTGGGATATAATTGAATACATTCCCATCAATCTGACATATCAATATAACATATCCAACAATCTGACATTCGGTGAACCAAACGGGGCCCAAAAGTCAAACTGCTTTTTTTCCTATTAGCCATTTTCCAAACAGCCCATAATAAGAGAGAATAAAATTGAAAATGCAGCTAAGTATATAAACCTCTCCGTTTCCCCACTCAGACATCTCAGAGTGCTTGCACAGTCTCTTCTTCGCAGTACACTAACTAGTTCCGGTAAAATTCTTGCCCAATCTCCCTCTATCCAGTGCATAAATGTAACACCCCCAAATTTCCCACCCAAAAATATATTTAAATATAAATTTATTCAAAAGAAATATTGGACTTTTATTTGAAAACATCAGAGTTTACAGCGGAGAAATATTCAAAGGAAAATAGGGGCGTTACCGCCACACTCGGTTCTCTCTTAACCGAGTGCACAGGCTAAAAATACTCAGACTTCAAAATGATTATTTAGATCTTGTAAATTATCTACATTGATTACTATAACTACATTTTTTAGCGGAGGCTCTCTCGAAATCAACAACTTCGTCAAATCATCACCTGTATAAAATCAAGTACAGAAAGAAAAACAAAAGAAAACAAAAATTAGCAACAATGCTAAGTAAGTTCCACCCAACCCCGTAAATAATATAATTTGATACATATATAATTTTTTTGTAAAACATTTTAGAGAAAAATCCTTTCAAAACACCTTATATAATCATAAGTAAAACAACACTTATACAAAGTTCCAATCATATAACTCATAAATCATAATAATTCCAAAGATACAGAAAACACCAAAATTCTCTTCTCTTTGAACTTCTCAAAATCAATTTTCACTAACTTCCTAGTAATTTAGAAGGGCGGTGCTCAACACTTTGGTTGAGCCCGGTGGTCCGTTGTTATGTACGGCCACCCCGGGACTATCGCCGGTACCACAACTGCTCAATGGAAACGGAAACAACCACCTTAAGTGTGCACACCCCCTAAAGGTATTCCAAGCCCTCCGGGTTAGTAAGTTGATCCGGGTAGTCAGGATGTTTTCTACCAACTACCCCACCTCAAAAACTGAATGATTAGGAGCTACTACTACCACTACTACTCAAAAGCCGGGATGTTTTCTACCGACCGTCAATTCACCTCAAACCAAAACCAAAAATTGAGTAGTAGTAGGCCTAACCACCCTCCACATTTTAAGGGACGTGGAAAACCGACACCACGGATTTCTCCCGTGGTGCTCACCTTTTATGAAAATGTTTATTTTTCTTTGTTTCTCAAAATCAATCAAAGTTCAAAATACCCTAAAATCTCCATTTTATCAAACTCCAACAATCAAATCAACATACTTACTATTACAAAATCACCCAAAATCATATACAATAACTCATATACATATTCAATGATAACAACCCAACGTATCAAGTATAAACAATTCTATAGAATAACATTTGCATAAATATAATTCTTAAATGCATACAAAACATTCAAAATAATTACGAAGCAAAAAGGTATAATTTTGGGTACAATGGAACTTACCTCAAACTCCAAAAATAGCCTAAGCAATTCTTCTACTTTGATCCTCCCTCAATCACCTTCTATGAATAATAGAATTCTAACATCAATATATATCAACTTGTAGTTTATCTCTTCTGCCCCTCTTATGATTTATTTTAACAATAATTAATCCATCCGATTCATAGTAATCTATTTTATGTATAGTACATGTACCCACTTATATTATGTTTATTCACAATTAATCATTTATATCAACTGATTAATTGAATCAGATCATTTTATTTTAAACCCAAGTAATAATTATTTGACTTAGTCTTCTTCATTAGCCGGTCCATATGACTGTAGTGCAAACTTAGTTGGTTCGTACGAATCAAGTAATCAGGTTTAATCACTTAAACGCACTGTAGATCGAGTTCATATACTACGTACAGTTTTGTAGTTCTCCGAACCTCCATGCAGTACGGTCAACGCAGGGAAATCGGCGGCGGCTTCATAAGTTCCGGGGCGGCTTCGACTCTCTCTCTCTCCTCCAACGGTGGCGGCGGTGTCTTAGCGGTGGCAGTCCGTTCCGTTGACCACGAGCTTCTCATTGGGAGTGAATTAGTGTATATGTAAATGTGTTTAAATACTTTGTATAAAAGGCATGTCTCACACTCTCACAAGTCTTCGTTTGACTAGGTTTGCCGAGCGGGTGGAACGATGCTACTGCTATTTATACATGTCTTTGATGCTTCTAGGCGTCGGTTACAAAATCTTTACATTTACTACCTACCATTTCCGTTTTGCCGACCGTACATGGTATAATAACGATGCTACGCAGAGAGAATTCTAGATACTTAATTTCCTTCTTTGTCTTTTACATGTGCGATTATACTATACGTATATGGGTATGCATTTATATCCACTTTATTATAGACTTGAATATCTATGTATGTATGTGAGTATTCGTATGAATGCATGTGCATGATATATATTATTATGTGTTGGTGTGTATCATATGAGATACGTAGTATGTATGTTCGTCATGTATTATAATTATAATTTGTGTTGCCCACTAACCGTTACGGAGTATTTATTAGTACTTCATATATTATTATCCAAGCGGCACACTATTTTATTTTTTTATTTCATCTCAATTTATTTTTAGTATTTTCTTTTATTACTTATCAGATAAATTATATCTGTTTTATTTTTTCGTAATTATTATTTTATTTAATATTATAATTATAATTCTATTTAAATTTTTAGGGCGTCACAATAAAACTGAAGCTTCTACTTCTGTGTATATGGAGTTCTAAGTCTCTAACCTTTAAGCATTTCACTTAGGCAAACTATTGAGGAGAAAAGGCACATCAAAGATTCAATTCCGTAGCTTTTGAGTGTGTATGTGTGATTTAGTGCCTTTTTAGTGATTTTCATGTGTCTCTACTAAAAAATTCTGATCTAAGTTGTCCCGCCCAAAATGATTCTATCTCTTTATGTTGATTATAGTTATAATTTCTTTTAAAACAGTCAGCCGAAGAAATGACTATGGAGGAGATTTTGAAGATAAAGCCATAAAGGTAATGACTCCCTGCTGGATAAATAAAAGAAGGCTAATGAATATGTTTGGAGTTCATTTTGTTTGGAGCTTCATCAACTTTTTTCTTCAGATCGAATCTCCTCCAACTTTTGATTATCAATTCCAATGATACATACATTTTCATGATCATACAAAGCCTTATGGCCCTTATCTATGCTTACTTATTGTTAATTGCCAATTTACCGTGCAGATTTTCGTGATCATAGTTGGCATGTACAGTAAAGATGGAGTGATGAAGATACTGAAAAATATTGATGGTATGCTACTATGCTCATTCACACAGCAAATATATGTACCAGCATTACTTTCTTGCAAAAAAGATCCAATTTTTACCAAATCAAAGCGAAGATTTTTTATTTTGAAAAGTTTTCTCATCTCATCTTTGATTCAATACTGCAATTTTTTGTGTTCCCTGCAGCCTTGCAGGTGCGTACACTGTAAAATGGAAGAAGGGTCAAACAGTGTTACCATAGGTGGGGATGTGGATCCTGCAGTGGTGATTGCAAAACTGAGAAAGCGTGGCAAGAAATCCCAGCTAGCAGCGGCAGCAGATTCTCTTGCCAGTAACAAAGATGATGCCAGTGGTGTTAGCAGTACGGTGGGGAAGCAAAAGAAAATGGTACAGAAACTCCAACCGCAGCCTCCACTGCAACCACCCAAAGGTGGAGATCTGCCACCGCTTCTGAAATCTCCACAGCAGGTGATGAAGGCTCCCCAATCCACTTCTACTACACATTTCCCTTGTCCTTCCGTGCCCACGCTTCAGAAAAGTTCTGAGCCTGCCACTGATCATGGTGCTGGGGGCAGCAGCAGCAGCGTTATCAGTAAGATAGAGAAGCAAATGAAAAAGGTACGGCAGCTGCTGCTACAGCAGCCACCGCCACCCAAGGGTGAAGATCTCCAATTGCTTTAGAAATCTCCAGAGCGGGTGATGATGGCTCCCCAATGCACTTCTACTGGTGTAAGTGCTTCCAACACAAACCCAACCCAAGAGTCTCTCAAACTCGACTTGCCTGGGGATTGTGGAAGGACCAAACCCGCTCCCTTTCCATCTGCGGCCCCATTTCGAAAAAGCTCTGTGCCCACCACTGATTTTGGTGCTGCAGGTCAGACTCTGATAGGGAGTGGATCACAACATGCTAGTGGTATCACCATTGGAGCGGGGGGTGGCGGTTCGATTCCAGTAATGAGTATAGCTCAGGGGTGAATGCCGATGGGTAAGAGGGCTCAAATGAGAAATATCCCTATGGCTCGCATTCCTCCACCACCAGCCCCACTATTATCCAGCGCCGGTTGTGCCAAGGGTCTTCGGAAAGAGGACGAAGGCAAAGGCAGTGGACTTTTGCAAGGAGGACATGGCATTGGGTGGTATAACCATGAAGTGGTTGTACCTCCCGATGTTTATGATGCGCCTCCTCTGGAAGCTTCGTGCCTTCGTCTTTCTCCAACAGCCATCCTCTCTACCATAAACCAGATCCTTACTATTCATATTTCAGTGATGAGAACGCTACTAATTGTTTGTTATGTGAGCGCTCGATCTCAACGAGTTTGTATGTGCTGGTTTGATAAACATGTTTTGTGTGTGTGTGTGTTTTCCTGCTTTATCGATCTTATATGTTGGATCATTTAGCCTCAATTATGCTGGTTTGTTGTTATGGAAAATGGAACTCATTCAATACTGAAGAAGTTGAATGTGGGCAAAAAATTCAGAATCCTCCCTTTTCACATTCGGAGTGCTTGAAAACTGAAGCTTAGCATCTACTTCTATGTAGAGGCCGGTCTAGGTGTCTCAAATTAAACCTGATACCAAAGGTAGCTAGCTTCCTTCTGCGTTAGGCATGGCCTCGGTTCGGGCCGCCCGGCCCGGGACCGGCCCGACCCGCTACTGTGCGGGCCCGGCCCGGCCCGGTTTTCCGGGTCCGGATCTGGTTCGGGCCGGAGGCCCGGGGGTGGGGCGGTTCCGGGCTCGGTTCATGGGTTTGACGGCCCGGCCCGGCCGGTTCGGGCCCGGGTCCGGGCCAAATCTATTTTTTTTTAATTTTTTTCATTTTTTTGGGCTGTTGGGCTTGGGCTATCTGTTTAGGCCGGTTTGGGGGGGTTTGGGGGTGGGGGGTGAAGAAAGGAAAAAAAAAATTAAATCGGGTGGCCCGACCGGCCCGGCCCGGTCCGGCCCGGAACCGGACCCGGGACCGCCGTACCCCGGTTCGGGCTCGGGCCTGCTATTACTGAACCGAGGCCCGGCCGGGCCTAGGCCCGAGGCCCGAACCGGCCCGGTTTAGTCCACCACTATTCTGCGTGCATGTAGTCATGTACGGTGTGGGTGCCGGGCCTATTCCGTGCCTTGGCTTTTTCATGATTTTTGTGTCTCTTTTATGGAGTATTATTGTTCATCCTGACTCCCCACAACTCTTGTCACATACTTTTTTTTTAAAAAATACTCTTGTCACATACTTATGTATGTGATGATATTATAATAGCTATCTTTGACTTTTTCCACAAGTACGATAAACTTTGATCTATTATTTTAATTAATATATTTATGTGAAACTTAACAAACTTATACTTTTATAATAGTACTTTTAACCAAGATTATTTCTATATTATTTTCATATTATCAATATTATCGTGTATAAATATATAATCGGTCAAAGTTGAACATCATTGACTTGGAAAATAGTGTTCGGCTAGATAAAAAGGGTCGGAGGGAGTGCTTGATAAGAATGTTGACTATATAGACTCGAATTAGAAGTAGTTTAAGACCCCGTTTCGTAACTCTATTTTTCGACCAGACCAAACACACAAATTTTGATTTCGCGCGCTAAATTGTGTACTCCATAATAAAAAGATAAAATAAGGTTGAAGTCACTTTTCAAATCGTATTGGCTGAAGTTAGTTTAGACGATTATTTTAGGCGTTTTTTTATGAATATTACCAAATGGAGGTTGAAAGATAAAAAAGTGACTCAATAAGTTCTTTTCCAATAGTATGACAAAAGCTATCCACGTGCATATTGTAACTGCCATTTACTCCGTAATGGATATACATTACCAACTTTTCCATGCAAAAAAATCGGGAGAATTAAATAACATATGTAGCGTGTAAGTGTGTAACTCAATGCTATAATTTAGGAGCATTATATTCTAATTTTTTAAAGCTTTGTACTACGTACGTATCTGCTATCATCGCTGCCACCAGTGATATATTAGTGACACCGCATGTACCCCAGCCACACCACAGTGACACCATCACACATCCATAGTGACTCCGCCGATTGTTGTAACTGGAACACAATGATTGGGTCGACATGCGCAGTTACTACTATTCACCTACCTGTGTTCAATGAATCAATTAGTTACTAATACCTCAATCTCAAAGCTTCTTAGTGACTCAAAAGTCAGTGACTCCGGCCTCAATTCTATAATCATATAGTGACTCCGGCTTGAATTTCCGATCGTTCCATTTTTAATTGAAAAAAATGAAAAAATAAAATAAAAGAATTGAAGAAAAACTATAAGAAGAAGGGATACAGAACGGGAGAAAGTAAAGAGAAATTTTGCCATCATGGGTTTGTCTTTGTTTTCAACTTAATTGCCGATCATGGGTTATTTTTTACTGGAGGTGGCGTGAGGGCATATGAGGAAGACGGAGACGCAAAGTTTAAATCGGAATGTTTTGAAAGAAAGCTGTATTAATGTATTAAGGAAGAGAGGAGATTGCAGGAAATCCGGACGGTTTTAACAAAATAATTAAATAACATTTCATTAATTATATCTTAAGTTACTTTTATGGAAAAATGAGAAATAGTCATATTTTTGAAAATGCAAACACTAGAAGTAATATGTGTGCCATTTTTTCATTATTTTAGCTATTTTTCATATATATTTTTCTTTATTTTATTAATAAAAATATTTTAAATACTTCATCCGTTCTTTTTTAATTGCAACGGTCCACTTTTCACGTTTGCCAACGCACAAGTTTGACCATTAATATCTTCCATTCCTTATTAGTAAAAAAATTAAAAAAATTAGATTATGAAAATTTAAAGTGATAGAAATTTAACAATATTTTTTAAAAATTTAATTTATAATACATTAATAAATAAAATAGAGTCAAAGTAGAACATGTGAATAGTGTAAAAAGTCCAACGTTACTTTATAATTTATTTATAAAGTACAAAGACAGGCCAGACCAGACCAATTTAAGCCAGACAAGACCAAACTTAAACATACCAGACCAGACTAGCAAGTTTCTATCCAAGTAAAAGCATACTAAATGTAAACACAATTGCACAAATAGGCCGGAGAAAACATAAACCTTTCATAAATAGGATTGTAGGACTAAACATTAATTTCTTGCCCTTAATCTGATTAATTAAAGGAATAAGGGACAAATAAGCCCTTGAACTAACCAAAAAAGTGCAAATAAGCCCTCATATAGGAGATTCTGTCCGGCCGTCGCCATTTGGGGCGGTTCCCGGAGAAATTTTTCGAAGAATTTTTTTGAGCATCTTCTTCATTAAGTCTAGTTTACCTAATTTCAGCTAAAAATGCAATCGGGAAGGCAGTCAAATGATTTTCTGAAATATACTGCGCTGTTTAATTGCGCAGTTATTTTTAAAAATTAATTTGACTGTCTTCCCGGTTGAATTTTTAGCTGAAATTTTGTATGGGTAAACTAGACTTAATAAAGAAGATGCTCAAAAAATTTCGTCGAAAAATTCCACCAGAAACTGCCCCAAATGGCGACGGACGAACAGAACCTCCTACATGAGGGCTTATTTGCACTTTTTTGGTTAGTTCGAGAGCTTATTTGCCCTTTTCCCCTTAATTAAATGCCCCCTAGTTCCTTTGCATAACCGGGGCAGTCCGTTGGTGGCAGGGCAGTCCGGTGGCGGAGCTCTGTCAATATGCGACGGCGCAAACTGACGGTAAATTTATTCTGAAAATTTCTTATTGTTTTTATTAGACAACTTACATTTTGAATTGGCTCTAGTTACAATTCTCATTAACATAAATTACATTTCTTTAAACACGAGTTAGAACACCCGGCCATTGAAACAAAACAAAACATGAGTGTATTAACAACTCGTCTAAGATAGTATTTTTATAAAGTGAAGTCGTTTCGACTAATTTGTATTGAATGGAGAAATTTAATGTCTAAAGCACTTTCATACTTATGTAAGATCAGAGGATACGAAATGTTAGCTGTTGGTTTGGTTTCACCTATATTAAAGCAAATCCACATGATCATACTCAAGTGGTCAACAACACTACTTTTTTTTTGGTCAACAACACTACTTGAATATATAGTTAAGAAATTTAAATGCAAAACAATAACCAATAAGGCAATAAGGACTGGCTAGATCCTCTAAGAGCATCTACAATGATTAGCTAAACATATTGTAGTTTTGCTTGCTACATCATTTTTTCTTGCTAATCCAATTTCCAGTAAGATGGTAGTCCAATTTTTAGCCACAAAGCTTGTCTCTTGAATAGGCCTCACAAATCAATCCATTATAAAAATATACATTTTGAGTGAATTGATTTATTAATATAATAAAAATAATTTTTATTTTGAAATTTTTACAAATCGATCAAGTTAATCATCAACTATGACTTTGACCAAAAATTAATCCAACGCCCAACATGGGTGAAAATGCATATTATTAAAATTAGAAAATAATATATATATATAGAGAAACATTCACATCCGGACTTCCGTATACTTTAAAAAACGGAACAAATTGTTCCTGCCCGTCAGATTAAATTAACGGTGGCGATTAAGTTTTAAAGCTCTTTTATTTGTTACCGCTCTCATCCTTTTTATCTCTTCTGTCTTCTCCATTTTTCGGATCTCACATAGCACTTCAAATTTCACATTCACCTTTCTCTAATCGTTTTTTCTTCTCCGTTTGATGTGCGACTCTTTCCCAACTCGTTTCTCTTCATCTTCTTACTCTTTATTTTTCGTTTTTTGCATTCTTTCCCAAATTTCACACGAGCTGGCATGAAGAGCTGCGGTTCATGAAGAGCTGGCCGGCTGGCCTGGGAATCAATCTGTTCGCGCGGCCGGCGGGTGCAAAAGGACGAGTAGCTGGCCGGCCGGCACCCACATCTGTGTGGTCTTTCTCCTTTTGTGGGTGTTGACTTCGATCAGCAGAAGTGCAGATGGGCCTTAGCTTGGTTGAAGGTGAGAAGTACTGCTGCAATTTTCAATTATTTTCATGTAGACCTGGTCAGCTATGGATCCAAACTCATATCCTTCCTCAATTATTGGTTTAAATTTAAATTGGAATTTTACCAATTCAGGAATAAAGACCTCAAATTTTGACCCGAATGATAGAATTATAATAGATTTTGATTTGTTTAATTTTATTTATTAATTTGAGTTTTAATTGGTGATAATTGTTTCTTCATTAGAGTTTATTAGTTTAAGATGAAATAATGTCTAAATTTTATCTTGAAAACAACATGTTAATCTTAAATATGTGTATTAACAGGTCAGTTACGCATGTGGGACTGGTTTGATGCTTTGATCCCTCAAACTGTTTTGGGAAGACAATTTTAGGCATATTGCTGAATGAATTTCTCAAAAGAT